AGAGTTCCTTTTTCTCCACACCCTCGCCAGCATTTGTTTTTGCTAGTTGTTTGAAGATGTGCCATTCTCACTGGGGTTCTGCCCATTTTTTGATGGGGTTGTTCAGTTTCTTTTGGTCAAGTTTCATCAGCTTCTTACGTATCTTTGTGATCAATCCTTTATCATTAGTATTGTGTGCAAAAATTTTCTCCCAATCAGTGGTGTGTGTTTTTTGTGTAGGGTATCTCTTGCTGTACAGAAGCTCTTTAACTTGATGTAGTCCCAGCTGTTTATCCTTTCCTTCACATCCTTGTTTTGGGTATTGTATCTTTAAAGATGTTACTGAGGTCTATGTCATGTAGTGTTTCGCCCACATTTTCTTCCAGATATTTTATGGATTGGGTTCTTATGTCTAGCTCTTTACTCCACTTTGAGTTGGTTTTTGTGCATGGTACAAGGTAGTGATCTAGCTTCATTTTTTTTTTTGCACATAGCAGCCTAGTTTTCCCAGCACCATTTGTTGAACAAACTTTGTTCCATTGCATATTCTTTGCTCCTTTGTCAAAGATTAGCTGTCCCTAAACCTGTGGGTTTATATCTGGGTTTTCTATTCAAATCCACTGGTCTGTAAGTCTATTCTTGTTCCAGTACCATGCAGTTTTCATTATTATGGCTTTGTAGTGAAGCTTGAAGTCTGGGAGTGTGATGCCTCTGTTCTCTTTCGTTTTAGTCAGGAAAATTTTGTCTATTCAAGGTTTTTTGTGGTTCCATATAAATCTCATCAGTATTTGTTCTATTTCTTTGAAGAATGTAATTTTTTTTTATTGGAATAGTATTAAATCTGTGTATCGCTTTTGGTAGGATGACCATTTTAATGATGGTAATTCTTCCAGTCCATGAGCAGGGGCTGTCTTTCCATTTGTCTTCTTGTAGTTCTTTCAGTGGTGTTTTAAAATTTTCTTTGTATAGGTCTTTTACCTCTTTTGTTAGGTTTATTCTGAAGTACTTGATTCTTTTTGATTGTAAAGGGAATGGTGTTTTTGACTTCCACTTCTTCTGACTGGTTTATGTGTAGGAAGGCCACTGACTTTTATGTGTTGATTTTATATCCTGTTACCTTACTAAACTGGTTAACTGTTTTGGTTAGTTTTTCTATGGAGTTTTTAGGGTTTTCCATGTAAATTATCACATCATCTGAAAATACAGTTTTACTTCTTCTCTCCCTATCTGGATTCCTTGTATGTCTTTTTCCTGTCTTATTGCTCTGGCTAGGACTTCCAGTAATATGTTGAAGAGCAGTGGTGATAGTGAACATCCTTGTCTTGTTCCTGATTTTAAAGGAACGGCTTTCAACTTTTCTCCATTGAGAATAAATTGGCTGTATATCATATACAGGGTTTGTCACATATGGTTAAAGCCAGATGTCGTACACTGATAGCTACTCCATGCCTGGCTTCCACTATCACAGAATCCTGCTAAAGGTGGGGCGCTGCTGCCCTGCCTCCAGCTACGTCAGGGGACTGGGTGTTCCCACAGGCCCCTGCCCTGCCTCCAGTAGTGGCAAGAAGGCTGAGTCTTATCCTTCCCTTCCTCGCCCCCATGGACCTGTAGTAGCCCCACTCCGCTCCATGCAAATCAACTGCTGACCAATGTTTCTTCTCCTAGGGGTTTCAGATATTACAGCTTTTCCCAGTTCCTTTCAGGCTTTTTTGTCCTCCTTTTCTTTCCTTGGTAGAGGTGTTCCAGGATTGTATGTGGGGGAGAGGGGAGAGGGTTCTGGTCAATTTCTCCCTCTTGTTTCTTCTTCCATTGCTTTCACCTTCCTCCTCTTTCCCCTGGGTTGCCAATCCTGTTTATAATGTCTGAGTTTTGGTTGGAGTTTGCAGCAGTTTCTCCCATATTTACTATATCCAAGGGAGAACTTAATCCCAGCGATTCTTCACAGCCATGTTGGTGATGTCCTAACTGGAATGGATTTTTAAGGATGGGTTGGGATCACAATTTTATTTCCATTAGCTTCAGTTTACTTTCCTGTGTTCACCAACAGTATCTGATCACCAACAATCATGACTTAAATCCAAGCACTTTATGTTAATTAGCAACTAATTGATTGCGTATGCTGAAATTCATTTGATTATAGAAAGAAAACAGCTGAGAATATTAATAATTAAATGTTGGTATATGTCTTACCTCTTCAGGAGGAGTCACTACGTAGGGGGGATTAAACACCAGAAGATCAACTTTTTCCTTCAATCTTGGTAGCAAGCCTTTGACCTAAATGTTCAACAATAATCAGAATTTTAAACCAGACTGAAATATATAAAAATGTGCTGTTTTTAGAAAAAAGATGTGTAAAAATGTCACACTAACAGAAATAAATATCTTAACATTTTCACTTAAATAAAAATTACATACATTAGCTAAAAAAAAATTAGTCTACTTAACAACAAACTTCAGGAAGGCCTGTGCTCTGTAACAGCTCCCTGTTTACACAGTAGTTTCACTTTTAGATAAAAGGAGGACAAAGACTTTATTTAATTCAGCAGCATGTGTTCTTTATAGCAGTTTATTACTTTAAAGCTGTAGTTGCCAACTAAACAGTTATGTAAGACAGAAAATATTAGAAGACTGAGTTTTCTTTCTACTTCTTGCAAATGTACTGGCAGAAATAATAAAATATCAAAAAAGACAAACTGAAAATACTGGGAAAATACACTGCAAAATACTGGTTGGAATTTTATAAATCTTTAAAAGGGATATAATTTTCTATATAACAAGAAGTACCTTTTTTTTTTTTTTTTTTTTTTACAAAAAACATTTAGGGGAAGATGCCATTTAAAGTATTCCTCTGATTGAGTTTTCAATACTCTAAAATCACATCTGAGCATGTTATTCTGATCCTTTACAGGAGCAGTGAAGTAGACTAGGCACTCTTCCTGAATGATTTCTCTCCTCCAGTCATTTCCTCCAGGTTTCTCCTAGAACCACGCTTACCCATGCACTCAAAGCCTGTTATTTGACATGGGTTACTGAGGTATCTGATGGCAGTCTTTTAAACTTTCTTTCATTACAGTAACAGTCTCCCAATTCCCCCCCCCCCATCTGCACAGGTATGTATCATTAATTACTGGGTATTTTCCTTTAAATGGGACTTTTCTTGTTAAATTGGTTGGATATAGTGACTTATATAAACACAATGTAAAATAAATACAATGTAAGTTTAAAAATGCTATTTCTGTTACTGTTGCTAGCATAGGAGTGTGCTCTTTGCTAGAGGGTATTTGTGTTTTTAAAAGTGTAAAGAGTAGCACCAAAATGAGCCCCTCCTAATGTCCTGAAAAATGGCTAAAAGGGAATTAAAGGGGGCACAACTATATCATGTAATGCAAAGTCATTTTAACACTCAGTCCTACCACCCAAGTATGGACATTTCCCTGGGCGACCTACATACATTGTGAGATGCTGCCCTACAATCTCCATCTTATCCAGGTTTCTAAAACATTGCCATGTTTCTCATCCTAATAAGCCTGTTAACGATGTAATTCAAAGAGAACGCATGAACATTATCCTTGAAGATATATATGTAGATGTTACTATTCTTTCTCATTTAAAAAGGGAAATAAATTATTAGTTGGGGGAAGGAGAGTAATTCGAGTATACTTTTTTTTTATTAAAAAGTTTATTTTTACATCATTTTGCACATTTTTTTTTTTCATCTCAATTGTAATCAATTTGAGTATACTTTTACATGCAAGGAGAAAGAAGACTATTTAATCTGTTGTCCCGTAATAGCATTGCCGAAGACATGTATTTAAAATAGCCAAAAGCTTTGTTTTCAATTCCATAAAAGAATAAGGGTTCTTCAATTACAGAAGGAAACCCAAAATGCAATATTCCAGATATTTTGAGAAAGGAAGCTACAAAAAATTTGCTCTGCCACTGTTTATGATGGGCCTGAGGTACTATATACTAAGAACCACTGCAGTACTGGATCTAAAATAAAGGAAAAAACTAATCTTAAAAAAATAGAAAGTTTTGGCATTAAAAACAAAATGGCTGGGCCCTCCCTGGTGGCGCAGCGGGTTAAAGCACTGCACTAAGAAGCTAAAGCCACTTCCCCTGAGTTCGATTCCCACCTGTCCCGGAGGCGACCACATGGTGAGGCAGACCTCTCCTGACCCGCCCGCTGCTCCACTCAGCAGTGTACTTCATCAGTCTGCCTGTTCTGCTTCCCGCTCTGTCTCTGGTGAATCCTCTCACCCTCCGCATCTCTGGCCTGTACCCCAGTTCTGTACAAATAAATAAATAAATCTTTAAAAAGTAAATAAATAAAATGGCCATAGGCCCTCCCTAGTGGTGCTACAAGTTAAAGCACGGCACTTCAAGCTCACTGTAGCTGCTTCAGTGCCAGTTAGATCCCCGCCCCAGAGGTGATCTACATGGCACAGCAGACTTCTCCTGACCCACTCACTATTCCCGTCAACCAGGTACTTTGTAGATCTGCCTGTTCTGCTTCCCCTCTCTGTGTCTGGTGAATCCTCTCACTGCCCCTGCACCTCTGGCCTGTACCCCAGTTCTGTATGCATAAATACATATTTTTTTAAAATAAAATGGCTAAAAATAAGAAAGTCCCTGTAAACTGGATATAGAGTCTAATTACTGATACCCTAAACTCCATCAGCTTTTGAATAGCCTGATAGCACTGGAGCACATCCAAAACCTTGGAAAAAGGCCTTTGATGAGAAGTTTTAAACCCAATGGTAAAATGCACATACGTTCCTCATATGAGAGGAACATAAGAGGCCCTTAACTCTTAAATACAAAAAAATAAAAACCCTAAATTAGTTATTTGGTATTCTAGGAAAAAGAATGAAATATGATAGCAGGAAGCAAGTAAAAAAAAATAAAAACTCAAAGTCACTGCAGGTGAGGGCTACTGAGTGTAAAGGCAGAACTGCCCGAAGTCTTCGTCGTCATAATTAGTACAAAATAGTAACTGTTATTCAGGTTAGTACCACTGAGTCAAATAAAAGGTAAAATTGTATTTTGTTAATTTTGTGAATGTAAGGAAGTGTATATGACGTATGTGAAAATGACATTTCTCAAACTGAAAATGAAATATAGTGAAAGTGCTACTTCTAAAGAGGTTGAAGTCACCTACTCAGAACAATTGGAGGATTTCCTCTCATAGCTGTAATGATCTATGTCCAGCGTTTTGAAAGAGGCAAAAGTTTTTTCTAAGTTGACCAAAGACTGATGCTTATGCCTCTTCTTGTTGCTTCTTTCTTTTGCCATGAGTCAGTATCATGATAATTTGAACTATGGGAGATACTTGGGCCACTACTAACTACTCCCAGAAACAGCTGTGACACCTCTAGATTTAGACTCAGAAGATGTGGAACTAAATTCAAGGCTTATCACTTTATTAAGTGACTTTTGAGATGATTCAAAAATGTATCTCACCTCAATTTCTACCTGTTAAAAACAACAGGCATCTGAGTTTCTTTTATCTCTAAAGTTTTACTGTTCTGTTACAAACATTTAATACTAATTACAGATAAATTAAAAAAGCATGATAAATCAAAAAGCAAAACCACATTGTTCTCTAGTAAATCACTTGCGTACATTCATGACATAGTTTTAAAATGTAGTAACAAATTCTAGTAATATGTAGAGAATACGAAAGCAGAAAAGCAAAATATCCTCATTTCAGTGTAAGAACAATACAAATAATACAAGTCAAGGAACACAGAAAGCCTTTCATATTTCTTATACCCACCTGGTTCATGCTATAATTTTTGCTTATAAAAATGGATTTTATATTTTAAAGAAAGATTCAAAATTATCTAAGCCTTATTTGCACAACTACTTTAACATAAACTAAATCTAGATTGATGTAATTTAAAATATTTCAAAAACTAGCTGAAAAGTCACGAACTGTCACATGTTCTGAAGTTGTCATCTTTAGTTTCAACCTGCCCAGGACGCATCTCCCTCCTTCCAAGGCCCCCATTTACATCTTGAATTTTCCTAGGGAAGCTCTGCTTCCTTTCATTCTCAATCCAAGTGGCCTGGGTAGGCGGGGATAAATCTCGAATGGATTCAAGACCTAACCCCATGTATTCCATTGGCACCTAGCCAGAATGCTCTAGAGATGGGAAGGAAATGGACACAGGATGCCAACTGATCCAAAAATGCTCACTTTAGGACTTCCACTAGAGTCACCAAATTAGAAAGACTTTCTGTGATGGACTGCTGAGTAGTAAGACACAGATTTTAAGCAACAAGATACCAACAATGGAAAGACTAAGAACAGAGTTGCTCTATAAGCCAACAGCCATATTCCGTAAATTATGGGCAAGACAGATTTTATTAGGTAAAAATTTTACTTTGTATACTGCTCAGTGGTTGAAGTAATCATTCCATTTTCTTTCATCTAAATCATCTTTACCTGAGGAAGGAAATGCTTTATTATTAAGCAAGGATTAACAGCTTACCAGATCTGTGATTACTGGCTGAAGGTGAACGTTGTTACAGCGTGCTGTCTCGAGGGTGCAAGCTGCTGCCTCAGGGTTGATATCAGTGCACCTATTATCAAATAAAGAAAATTATGCCCTATGCTCATGAGACAAATCTGCTACTGAATGATTCAAGGAATTTTCATTCCTTTCACAGAAAGTAGATTTAGAAAAACATCTGAATGCTATAATAACATCAAGCCAAAAAAAAACAAAGATTGGTTATACTGGTAATAAAGATTTTTATATTGATATAATGTCCAAGGAAAGAAAACACAAAAACGCACACTCATATGGAGGAACTCATTAAGTTAAAAATCCAATGAAGGAATACTGCACAACCACCAAAAATGAAATTAAAAATTTTTTTGAAAGGTTAATGCTACAATACAATATTAAAAAAAAAAAAAGAAAAAGAGGGCCCTTCCTGGTGGCATGAAACAGTCTGAAGCCACTGTAGCATGAGTTTGATCCCCAGCCAGGGAGATGACCCCCATAGCACAGCAGACCTCTCTTGACTCACCCGCTGCTCCCCTCAGCATTGTACTTCCTCCATCTGCCTGTTTTGCTCCCCACTCTGTCTCTGGTAAATCCTCTCACCCCCCACACCTCCAGCTTGTACCCTAGTTCTGTGTGCATAAATAAATATATAAGAAGAAGAAAAAGAAAAATAAGGAAACACACTTGGACCAAGTGTTGTAAAACTGATTTTTTTTTTAATTCTGCATACTTTATTCCAAATAAACTTTAGTAACATTCAACCAAATTATTCACCTTAAAGATTCAATTTAGGCCCTCCCTGGTGGCACAGCAGGTTAAAGCACAGCACTGAGAATCTAAAGCTGCTTCAACATGAGTTCCACCCCTGCCTGCCCCGGAGGAGACCACATGGCGCGGCAGATCTCTCCTGACCTGCCCGCTGCTCCCCTCAGCAGTGTACTTTGTCCATCTACCTGTTCTGTTCCCCACTCTGTCTCTGGTGAAGCCTCTCACCGCCCCTGAGCCTCTGGCCTGTACCCCAGTTCTGTATGCACAAATAAATAAATCTTTAAAAAAAAATTCAAATTTAGAAATGAGCAGAATTTATTAAGCTACTTCTGTAATTATGTAGTATGATGAAAGTTTTGAATATGCAATTAAAATGATCAGACACATAATTTGAGCTCTAAGTCATATACTTACACAGACATTCAGATATGTATTTTCAACTTAAAAGATTTCACTCAAGCAGCTGTACCCATACTGAATCTCTTAATGGAACTTGTAAATGAATTTAATGTACTTACACTTACATGTACAAAGCTTGAGGACCTATCATAGAGGCTAGGAATGTGGACACAACTCCTGACCCTGACCCCACTTCAAGGCATATTTCCACTCTAAAAAAAAAAAAAAAAAAAGTAAATATTAGTACAGTGGTATTAACATACACATGACAAAAATAGCTCTCAAGCTACTTTGAATGCTTATTTCTCCAGCATCATCGCCCACCTACACATAGAAATATAACTTATAAATAAACTAATTTCTTTAGCTTAGTATTGCTTGATTCAAAACTGTTACAATTTTGTGTGAGTTAAGTCTGCAAAATAGCAAAAAAAAGCTTTCACTTTCTACATTGTTACAACTTCAATTAATTTCTACAAATATTAATGTTCATCTAAGGTTGGAAATATTACTACTAAACTCATTAGCCTCTTGGACACTGAGTTCCTAGCTTAGTATTTCCCAATATGATCTGGCTATTATTACAAATTTTTCAATAAATTTGACACTTTTCTCCAAGTATGTAACATTCATAAGCCCATTAGCATATCATAAAGGGAAAAAAGTTCTCCCCTTCTGATACATAATTAGAGAAGCAAGTAAGTCCCCCATTTGTACAGCTATACACTAAATTGGGAGAAAGAACCTAAGTATATGATCTGAGAATACTGAAAATAAACCTAAGAATTCAATTGAATTCATTCTCCATTCTATGTATTTTATCCTTCAAGTTAAGTTTTTTCCCCTTGCCTCTCATTAAATGCCTTAAAAGCACCGAATAGGGCCCTCCCTGGTGGCTCAGCGGGTTAAAGCACAGCACTGAGAATCTAAAGCCCTTCCGCATGAATTCGATTCCCGCCTGCCCCGGAGGTGGCCACATGGCGCAGCAGACCTCTCCTGACCCGCCCACTGCTCCCCTCAGCAGTGTACTTCATCGATCTGCCTGTCCTGCTCCCCGCTCTGTCTCTGGTGAATCCTCTCACCCTCCGCGTCTCTGGCCTGTACCCCAGTTCTGTATGCACAAATAAATAAATCTTTAAAAAAAAAAAAAGCACCGAATATCTTCATTACATAGGCTTGAAGGGTTCATGGGCTTCTGTTACCTAACTACCCAAACTACTCAACAACAAACTCTAGAGACAGTTTTCTAATTTCTGGAAGTAACCACATATCTGAGAGGCCTTAATTATACTGTAGGAAGGCTTGTTTAGTCTTACCAGGCAGTTTTTACTAGAAAATAACTACCACGGAAGACACAATCAGAATTCCAAGACCAAACATATCCAAACCTTTATCATAAAATTCAGTTCCTTTTAACCCAATTTGTGCTTGTGAATCTTTCTGCAATATCTTGGGAATAAAAGGTATAAAACAGTACTGTACCATTCTATATACCAGTAAACCCAAAAGTTTCGAAAGCCATTTACAATGAAAAACTAGCTTAAGAGTTGGGGCATTTTACCCATGGAAAAACCTGACCAAGTGTAAGATGGACAAAAATATATAGATATGTGAAGCTTGACAGCTGCTTGTTTCATCCTGAGAAAATTCCACTTGAATTCTTTATATAAATATAATTAAATTACCCGAATGCCTTTCATTAAAAACAATTGTTACCGATTTAAACTTTACAGCAAGCACAACTCAATTTTGGTATTTGTAACGTACTAGGGAAATTTCTTCAGGCTGCTAGCTGCATGTAATTTAAATTTTGTACAGTCAAATGACTGTCAATCACACCGGCCACCTTTCAAGTACTCAGTAGCCACAGGTGGGTAAAAGCCATTGCTAAATCCGAGTATGCTGTTGGATGGATTATGCTGTTGGGTGGATTATCCACCCAACATCTTAAAAACCTCACTCCTTTTTCTTGCTCTTCTATTTATTTATTTATTTTGGCTATTCTATTGTTTTTCTGTACTAAATAAACTGAATAATGCCAGGCAGTTTTAACTATTTACTAAAAATTTTTAAATATTAACACCAAGCAAGGTTTTGGTTTTGAATGTATGAGAGTATCACTGCTCTGGGGGACACGCGTTCTGGGCATTTAAGAGCCGAAAGGGAAACACACTGAAGCGGTGAGGGCACACAGCGCGCCCGGCACGCGAATTCGCATATTCAAGGAAAACTGCGTTTAGGGGTTCGGGTTCCTGCGTCCAGTCCCCGAACCCGGCAACATAGACTCCTCTTGGGGAGGGCGGAGGCAGACCAGGCCTCCGCCACGCCCTCTCCCTTAGGCGCCCTCTCCCGCCTCGCACCCCATGAGCTCTGCCGCCGCCGCCTCCAGCGCGTCCAGCAGCAAGAATGTATCCTCCGCGGGCTCGTACACATCGCAGAAGGCACCGCGACCCACGTGCCCATGCAGCGGCGTGGGGAAGGTCAGCGCCGCCATCTTTCTCATCGCCATCCCTTGCGCATGCGCGAAAACTCCTTTCTGCAAGTACACAAACGCGCAAGCGCAGGGAATAGGGGGCGGGGCTCCGCGGGCAGGGCGTGTCCTCAGGATTTACTACCGTTTGTCAGTAGATGGTTTTAGAATTTCTGAAGTTATATAATCTGCAGTCAGTGACATTTGTTCTCTTCTTTATTTAAATTTATTTAATTTCGTAGGCATCCTTAATTTTTTTGACTAAGGGAATTACTCCTTTTTTCTATGCTAGGAAATTTTCATATATAACTCATTTACAAGGATTTGAAAAAAATATAGCGGTTACTGAATTAAACTGCTTTTTACATGAGCTGAACTTTAAACTTTTTTCTCATTTTATTTTTCAATATATTTCATAAATAGCCTTCCTCATGTTGGCTCATGAATGCACTTTCTAGAAACCTCATTCAAGCAAGATGATGCATGTTTCTTTTTAATATCTGGTGAATTTTGATTGCTAATAATCTAGGCCAATTTTGTATGGAGATTATGATAAAATGCTAGGACAGTGTTTCTGGAATATTTGTTACAATTTATCCATCAGACTGGTTGGAATTGTTACCTTTTTTAGTGGATAATGTGAATTTTTGGAGCATCTTTGATGGTTATATTTGTGGGTTTTTTTTAATCAACTGTTGAAATTTCTTTCCTAATAAAATGTTATAACATCTTTTTAAATTTGAGAAATATAAATACAAAAAAAATACTGGAATTTCATTTTTTTAAAAACCCTCAGTACCCATCAACCAGAACTGACAATTACTGGCATTTTCAGGTGTTTCCTTCAGACAACTTTTAAATAAAAGAACTAAAATATTACAAGTGAAGTGGATATTTTTCCTATATTCACCTTCATTCCATTTTGTAACACTCACTCCAAGGTAACTTCTCTCAGACAGCTGACACATATTTTTATGTTTTACAAACATGTTTTACAAAGTATGTTAATAAGCAACATTTTGTTTGTTTCCAAATTTGTATGACTATTAATAGGACATAATATTTTTCAAGGTTTTTTTTTTCACTCAACATTATCTAAAATTTGTTTTGATAGTATAAATTTACTTTACCTCTTTTAATTGTCATATATTACCTATCCATTGAAAATATAAAGCACTGGGCCTCCTGGTAGTGCATGGGTTATATCTCAGCACTATCAAGCTATTGCTAGCCACTGCAGCCTGAGTTCAATCCCCATCCAGGGAACTTACCCACAGATGACCCACATGGCACAGCAGTCCTCTCCTGTCTTGTCTGCTGCTCCTCTCAGCAGTGAATTTCAGTCAATCTGCCTGTTCTGCTCCCCAATGTCTCTGTTGAATCCTCTCACCCCTAGCTCCATCCCCTGCGCCTGTGTTTTATACCCCAGTTCTTATATGCATAAATAAATAAATCTTTTATATATATATAAAAGATTTTATATATATATAAAATCTTTTATATATATATAAAGCATCTTCTATCTGAAATACATGAATATCAGTTGGTAAACATTTCTTTCCTTCAGTTTGTTGGTGTTATGAACAAAAATATTTACTCTTTAAACAGCTTTCTTCTGGTCTTGTTCAGGAGTTCAGCAGGGTTGTCATGTGTAGACATTTTCAACTTTGTTAGTCACTTTCAAATTTCTCTTCAAATTAATTGTATTTGTTTATATTTTTGCTAAGTCTTAGTGACAGATGTTATATGTAATATTGTCAGACTTGTTTATTTTAAATTGAATTGGTCGAATTGCTAACTGAGTGTAGGCATGTGTTCATATAGTCATCATTTGAGTTTCTTTGGCAAATCATTTGTTCCATTCTCTTATTTTACATAACTTGATGTGCCAAGTAGTTCTATTATTAACATTTTATTATTTTAAAAAACCCATTCTGTATACCAAATACTCAATTTCTCACCTCTCCTTCTCCACAGGGGGCCACTTTCAACTTGTAGTTGTTTCTTTGACCGTGTAAGTTCATATCTCAATATACCAAGCTGATGATAATACTACTGGAAATTTGAACTTTAGAGTTCCTAAGAAAATGTAAACTTCTCATGAGAGAAGGTGAGAATTTAATTCTCTCACTTCCAGTAACACAGTCAGTTGCCAGGTCCACCCTCTCGTCTTCCCTATATGGTTACATAATGATTTTTTTTATATTATTATATGTATTTGTTACTGGCCAGGGTGAGGGGCACTCCAAGAGCCCCAGGCTGCCCACTCTGAATAGGTTCTGCCATCCACTGCATACTCAGTGCATAAGACCTTGAGTGGGAAGAAACTTTAATACAATTAGGTTGCAACAAAGAAAAGATAAAGAATATAGTTTCCCTATATAAAACACCCCAAGTGGCGCAG